ACATGAATCGCGTCGGGGAACGAAGAAAGAAGGTGAAGTGGTTAAAAGAGGATGTGGAACAAGAAACATGCTCCGAAAGTGCAAAAAAGGAGCAGAGAAAGTTAATGGAAACGTTATCTACGCGCGGCACCTCAAGCTAAAATAGAGAAATCACCGCTCGGTACACGCGAGCTGTCTCTCTCTCTCTCTCTCTCTCTCTCTCTCTCTCTCTCTTTTTCTATATTCAAATCTTTTTTACGTTTCCCTTTCACGCAGCCGTGTCGGCGGAAAAGACTGAAAGGGGCTGAATAATAGGGGGGGGCGTTGAATTCTTTAAACGCATCTCCCTTCGCCCCTCCCGCCCGGCAACAGAATTTCGCAGGGAGTTATGGAATCGCGGACGCGCATAAGCGACGAAACCCCTGTATTATTTAAAATTCTCCCCTTTTGTCTTTGCTCGTCGTTGTCCCGAAAAGAAAATGGATTAATTAACTCGAACGACCTGCACATCCGCTCCGTGACGTAAACACGGAAAGAGAGATATTGTAGAAAGAAAGCGTACAACCCCCTTCTACATTCCACAGCGCGGTGGAAGGTGATTCATTCGCGTCTCGTGTGAACGATCGTTACGTTTTATCATCTTCCCCCCCCCCCCTAATTTCCAACAACGAGTCTTGTTTATTCGTCCGGTTCTCGGGTGGACCGAGTGCGGATGCATTGAACGCAAAGCCAGTTTCGAGTTGGAAAAATACGGACAGGAAAACGAAATTGTAGAATTACAGAGTGGAAAGAGGCACTTTACCAATTTTCAGGTCCCGCGCGATCGTTGGCTCGTCGTTTATAGAACTGTTCCTTACCTGAAACATAAATTATACATTGTTGTTAGGTCGAGAATTGTGGTCTGGAGCTCGATTGCGCCAACTCGTTGCAAGTTGGATAATTTATTTTGGGGGAGAAAGGATCAATATCAGTAATTAACAACAATTGTGAAAAATATCTTGGAATACGTCCATTAGAGGGAAGATTAAAAGCAGAGACCGAATCGGCAAAATACTGGTATTTTTAGGTTATTATTCGATTACGTTTGATGAAACCGAAATGGTACGGATGCCGGTATAATGCTATCAAAACGATGTTAGGTCGGTAGATGTATTTCGGTATAATAACCGGTAAATAAAATATTAATATATTAGAAAAGGAAAAGAAGACAATGATTAAATGTTTTCATAAAGCTGGCGATAGAAAATTTGATGACGCTTAACACACGTATCCTTTATTATTTCTAATACTAATTCATCGTTGTATCTCCATACAATATCAGCCACGATACTCTTATTCAATTTTAAAAGATGACCGATTTCTCGATACGTTTCTCCTTTTTCTCGGCGAAAAATGACTAATTATTGTACGTCGATAAATCGAAAGAAGAGTTGAAACAACGATTAATCGTAGAATGGAAGAATATTCCGCTAAATTATTTAAAAAAAAAATTACTGGAAATATGCCTAAACGTCTGCGATATATTATTGAAGTTAAGGGCTACCTAGCAAAATATTAATTATCGTTTATGTTAACAATTTTCAGGTTCAAATATTGTAGTTCCTCAAATGTCTGAATATTTTTGCCACGCTACATTTCGACATAGTTCAGTTTATAGTTTGACATTAAGAAAAGTATGCAATAAATAAATAAAATTTATGTTACTATAAACTATAATGAATGTTCTATTATATTATTAAAAAATTAATCCAAATTTACCATTATAAATAATCGAAATCCACAACAATATTTTGAATAGCATGATGTCCGAATATTAATAAGAGTCACTGTACGTAGAAAATGAAAAATGTGTTTTCGTAAGTAAAGCGGTGCCGGTATAGTTAAGCTAAGTTGAAAGTTTCAAATTTTGTTTGGAAATTGTTTTATAAAAACATACGATGGCTGAAATTATCGAGTTCGAAAAATCCTGCGGGAAGAAATTGAACTCTTTCATTCCACGAAGATTGTATCTCGTATTTCAGCTCACGTATTAATATCAGTTTTTGATACACCGATTTTTTCAAAGTTATTCGCACAGAAAAATCCAGCGGCGCGAAATCGGGCAATATCAGGCTATTGTTCTCCGCGTATTTCCTATTGTTGTTGCAGCCTTTTAATAAAACCTCGAGTAACCTATATATTTACACGTATAACGCTTTTTTTCTCTCATTTATATTCGCGGCACATCCCAACGCAGTTTAACCAGTAAAAACTCTCTTCACAGGTGTTACTTTCCTTGCAAGTCTAGTTTGTTCAATTCTAATTACACAAAGTATTGGCACACCACTATACCACCAATCAATGAACTCGTATTAAAATAATGAAAAGAGACTTGAAAATAATGAAACGAGACTTTGGTAGAAAATTTGTTTCATCGATGAAACGTTATATTATAACAATAAAGTGTTATTTTATACTTTACATTCATATTTTTATATTTTATACTATTTTATAACTTGATTTAAATTAAATTAGAAAAGCGGGGTAGAAGGCTGTTTCATCGATAAAATATCATAACAACGAAGTACTGTACTATTTTATACTCCGTTATGTCTCACATTTCACACTATTTTATAATTTGCAGCATTTCTGATTCGAATATTGAATACAGGGAAGCTTCATTACACTTTGAATATCACGCATATTTAGTTGCATATTGTACGGTGGATATTTCGTTCATTTCATTTGCATACATTCTATGGACCCACACAGATGCACAAAAATCCACAATATCTAGTTATTAACTTCACATGTATATTCATCGACGCAAGAGTGAGAGAGAGAGAGAGAGAGAGAGAGGGGAGAAGTCGGAGAATCCAACAAACCACCCGACGTTTCCCATTTCAAGTCAGACACCCATCGTTTAAGTCAACTTTGTCGTATCTTCGCCGCAGACACACGGCAAGGAACTGCTTATGCGGTGAGTTTCCTTAGCAAAACAGAAGCACGCCTGGTCTTTTTGTATCAACCGGGACTTGCAAGTCCTTTCGAAACTATGGACGAGAGCAGAAATTTCGCAGACTTTACGCGATTCAGCTTATTCAACGGTGTCTTTCGGCGGCTCTACGCTCCTCGGAAGCCCTCTCCTCACCAGTCTTAACCTGCTGAAGTAGGCAAACACACTTCCGGCGAAGTTGAGCGAGCGGAAACGCGTTTTCAATCACCCGCCGCGCGAATCGTCGCGTGTTCTCCACGTTTTCGAAACTGTCGCCAATTTTTCGCAGCGAGATTTCGAAATTAAACGAGATTAAATGGCAAACCCGATAGTTGAATTTCGAATTTCATAATAAAATGTACAAAGGTGTAGGGATTCATTTTAATAAATCTGGGGAGGCACGATGTGACAAAGTTGAGTTCTTCACGTTCTAGACTTTCAAACAATCTTAGATTGACACACTGAACTGTACGAAAATCTTTTCAAGATGAGAATTTGAAAAATTTGGAAAAGTTTGGAGGGATTTTATTAAAATAGGACAGCCTCGATTCTCCAGAAAGTTCTGCATTCGCAATTATATTTTGATTATTCAAGACGCTCAAGCTCCAAAGAGCCAGATGAGAGGCAGCTTTTGGAAACGCGACGACGGATGGAACGATTCGAGAAGCGCACGGGTGGAAAATGATTAAGTTCGCGGAAACTTGAGAAAAAAGAAGAGGAAAGAGAATGGAGGGAGAAAAATCTCGGCAGAATTGGCCGGGAAAGAGAACGAGGGAAAGAAATATAAAAGGGCGTGTGAAACGTAAGACGAGTGTCGGATGGAAATCCCTTTCGCCGAACGGCCGCCATCATAATTTTCAAACTTACTCAACTTCTTTTCTTATTCGAATGTTACTGTGAAATATAAGGTGCCTGGATACCCAAGAAGGAAATAAGATGGAGCCAGGCTCCCGGCCACGTGATGTATGTACCAGGCACTTTTACACCGCGAATTTCGACACGTTTCTAAAATGTAGAATTGAACCGATTCGCGCGTCGTTACGAACCAGCACGATTTTCGCTCGTGTTAATTCTCGCAGAGGTCACGGCGCGAGTGATTTTCAATCGAGATAGATAGTTGTCGTATTTCAAGGCGCGTGACAGCCAGCGACACGCCTTTCGAGTATGAACATTTGTTGGAACCGCTTTCGAAAATTTGGAACTTGCTTTGAAAAAACTCGCGCTCAGTTTCCACCTGTAGAACATATTTGACGATTGCAGTTTTGCAAAAATTAATCATGACGATAACACAGGCAAAGAGGAGACTCTCTGACGGCTGACACTCATCGGAAAACTCGGCAGAAATGACACTTGCAAATATCAATGAGACTTTAAGGATATTTCGCAGAAATATTGCAACGTGAATGGCGCTATAAAATTTACGTTTAGAACGGAGTTGGCTAACTGGCGCTACCCCCTCCACTGCGCTGAAATTTCCTCGCCGTGCATGAGCCCCACTCTTTCCCTACTAAGCCAGTGGAGGGGATAGACTCTGGCTTAAATGATAAATTTCTAATGGAAATTATGAAAACTGAACGCGTGGCGCGTAATGGTCAAAGTCGATAAAGATTCCAGTGTTATAAATATACTCGTCTAATATATAATTAGCGCTTGGTCGATGGTGGATACGAAATTCTATTTCCAGCTACACATTATCGATCGTCCATATCATTTTTTCATGAGATATTCCAATTATTCGATTATTTCTTTATAATAATTCGCAGAGATTATCTGACATCGAAAAGGCTTTCTTTAAAGTACATTCGTGGACAGTGTCTACGCTAGGTCTACCAGTGGTAGCAAGTACTTTAGCTTCTTTATACTGTCTTTCTCAACAAACGTTGTTCCAAAATGAGACAAGAATTTTAAAACATTTAATTTAATTTTCGTATTCGGGGAAACGATAGTGGAACAAACTTTAATTCTGGTTCAAAGCTCTTACTTGAGCAATATTTGTAAACTAACTGGTTCCTCAATTTTTAATATATTTTTCCTGAAATTTGTGCAGGTGTAAAGGATCGCTGGCGTACGTGCACCTGGCGTGCCTGGAGAGATGGTTGAATCAATCGTGCCGATCGTATTGCGAGTTGTGTCGTTATCACTTCAACGTTATCGAAACGCCTCGTTACCGATGGTAAGCATCGACCAAGAATTTCACAGTTTCTTTCAATACTGATTAACTCGTAGGGAAATAAAAGATATCCTCTACTCGTCGTTAGAATGATATATCTGAATTCTTTGATACACGAGATCAAATCCTTCTGTGTGAATACGCGATGAAAATTGCGTAACGCATGAAATTCAACTTATTTTCGACCTGTATAGTGATCACTTTTATGGGAACCTTCAGGCCAGAATCGTTGAGGATATGGATCACCCATCCCAGGAATCGTAGAAACATACAGTCAGACTTGCTTATCTTCACACTACTTTCCGTCGTTACCGTGGGTTTGGTAACAGTTTGCCTCCTAGGTGAGTGAAATTACTCACAGTGAAATTATGCTTTACGCGCACGCATAGAAACGCCAGTTTTATCCTCCGACGTTAATGATAATGACATTCTCGTGCGCGTTGAAACGTAGGTATGCAATACTTCGTTATCGAGGGAAACAAGATCGGCGTTTCCAAACTGTGGACGAGAGGGGCCATATGGTTCTTCCTCACCATCGTCGTGCTGGGTTACATCACGACGGTCTATTTACTCGGAAAAGTAACGATCGTTTTAATTTCAAAGTGAAACCAAGTAATGCCAAACTAACTAGTCTCGCAATTTCCCATTTTCAACGTGTCTCCTTCTCTCCCGCATCGATTTATTATATAACAGCGATCATGTCCATTTCTATTTCTACTTCGTGCGAAAAAGAGCTTGAGTTAAACTATTTCTCAAAGTACAAAATTTTACAATTTCTCTAGTCCCTTTAATACTAAACCTACCATCAGATCAAATTGACCATTTTCAAACTTTCGCGTACAATTCCCTACATACAATATTATCACACCTCTATTTATCGTTACTTGAAATATTTTTCTTAAAATATACGTACAATGAATTTTTCAGTATTTGCGTAGCCGAAACTTGTGAAGGTTGTTTCATTTGGTAATTTAATTCAGTCAGTCAAATTGACTATTGTCTACAAATTCAAATGTAAAGAAACTTTTTCTTTTTTTCTTTTTGACTGATGACCGTAGGAAGTAACGAGTAAACACGAAGTGTCGGTAGGTTTAGTGTTAAATATACACTCCTACTTTAATCTCATTTCGCTTCTGCCTATAACGAAGCTCCCCCTCAAAAGAGACTGACTGCAAGCATAATATCAAACAGCGAACAGCGTCACAGCGAAACGTGTTTAACTCTCGTTTGTCGCGTTTCTCGCAATTAACCGACTGGCTGCTGGACTGGCCGCGCGAAGATTAGCTTTGCAGAAGCAGCAAAGCAGTAAACCTGACGATAAATTCCCCATTTATTTCGCGCGGCGATGCACGGTCGCGGTTTTTTCGACCAACGTGCGCGCGGAAGGAAGCAACCACCGTGCCAGAGAAAAACGTTGCACGTTTGAAACTTTCTTGGACAAAGTCACCAGCCGGATGTACCGTTTTATTTCTCATTGTCAGCCCGCGTCGCTATTTACGGTCATAGAGAGCAACGTCAACCAAGCAAGCACACGCTTCTAACAAGTTCTTTAAATGGGCTTGGTGTAATCTCGAAAACTTGCGAGATTTTCTTTTCTCTCTCTCTTTCTCTCTCACACACACAAACACACCCTCGTAACGTGTCAACCACCGAACTGGACTCTTCGCGGGAGAATTCTGGGCATATTCTCGCCGCGAGTAATCTCTTTAATGGCGCGGCGTGTCTCGCTTCTTCCTTTCCGCAGCTATAAATCCATCCACGAGGTGGTCAGACTGGGAAAACTCGAGACTTTTGCCACCTTTGTTCTTATCGAGGGCTGACGCGTCTCTCGTTTAAATACGCGAATGTTTCGAGAAGTAGTGAAACTTGCCCCGTTTTGTAGACAAATAATGCTCGATCCACTCTCGGAGTGTACAGTGACATTCAAAAGTATACCGTCACGTATTTACATTCACTGCATTTGATAAATTATAAATTTAATTTATAATATAAATATGATAAATCATTATTATTTTATTATTTAGTACATAAAAATATTTGGAACAAAATGTTTTTTTTCCTTTGTTTTAAATTAATTTTGACATCATTGAAAAATTGTTTGTTAAAAATAATACCCTGAAATTAAATTTATCACTTTACGTTAATACACCTTAAACTTTAGACCAATGATGGCGAAACCTATCATACTCTAACCCAGGGTTTTTGAATTTCCCACGCGTTGATTTTTATAAACTTATCATCACATATATAAAAGAATTTTAATTATTTCTCGAAGCCCTCTTTTCAAAAAATGTTAAGAAAATTACAAGTGTTCGGTTCGAGCTTAAAAGTGAGAAATAAATGCATAATTGTGTTTTATGGAGGGTTTACAACTTGGTTATGTATACATATAGGTATTTTAAGTCTTAAATGTTATGTGAGTTAGTTGTGTCCAAAAAATTTTATACAGCGCTTACGATTAAACAGATGTAATAAACACTAAAAAAACACACTAGATCCCATTCTCAGAATGGGTAGCTTTGCTAGTTTTTTATATAATAAAAGAGAGAACAGACAATAAACAATATTAAGAAATAAAGTATACATATCTAATGTGTAGTGCAGGGATGACTGGGCATGATGTCACCCCTTTTATATCAATTTCTTGACGTCGACATTTATTGTTTGCTCTTCACTTGCAAAAATAAAAGTTGTAAAACAAAAAGGAAACCTACACGTTTTCAGAGGATTATAAAAGTGAGAACCAAAAAACAGTAGTTTCTAACCATCCTCCCCTCTCCCTTTCCAAGTGACTTTCCACCGACTTAGTGACCCACGAGCTAGTACTAAAAAAAAAAAAAATGAACAAAATTTGACCTACTTCTCAAAAAGATTCGCCGTCACTGCTCTAGACACTTTTCTTCACAATTATACAGCTTTTGCGCTATTATAAGAATTGCAAAGAAGCAAAACTACTAATCGTAATAGCGTGGTAACAGAAAGTAACCAAGCGACAAAGAAAATCAAACAAACATAGATGGAAGAATAAAAATCGCGCGACGTTTCGTCACACTCGAAAGAAAAACTGTAAGAAGAATACTGAAACCACGGTCCCGGTAGTTTCTCGTGAAAAATTCGTCGTCCAGTCGGAAAATCACGCGCAGAGAGAGAGAGAGAGAGAGAGGACGTCGAGGCACGGTGATGCTCGGCAGGAAGCTGACGCTTTTAGCCGGAAAGAAGGTGTCGCGGCACGTTTGTTCCGCCCCACTCGGCTGACGCGTTCCATTCACGCAGCCAAGCGCGTTCGCTCACCTGTTTCACCTTTGCGCCCGCGGCTTAATGCATCCGGGCCCGAGGCAGCTTGTTATCTGGGTCGGGGCGGAATCGCGTCGCATAAACATAAACCGCGGAAGACAGTCGTCGGCAGCGAGCAACGCTCGGCGTCGTAAAGGCCGACGACCTAGACCTGCCTCGGAGCTACCCGCAAATGCGGCTGCCTCCGTCTCTCGGGGCGCAACACCGCGATATTTTTACCCTCGAACGGAACGCGGAAACATCATCGATACGCTGTCGATCCCTCGATCGACGCCGTCGGTTTTGAAAATTCTTGGCGAGCATTCGGATAAATTTGAGGACAGTCGCTATCTAGAGGAGACAGAGAATCGCGCGCCTGTGTTGAAACCAGGTTCGATCGTCGACAGCGGTTTTGATACAGGTGTGATCGCAATGATCTGCGTGAGATTGAAATTGTAATTTTCACACAATTATATATACGACGCGTGAAAGTAGATGCTTAAAAGGTTCGCATAGCGGTATTTATGGAAATTCTTTCAGAATATATAACACACACACAGGCACGCGTGTTGAAGTTCATCCATGGTAAGTGTTCCAGTATCGTATCGTTGAGATCTGTTACATTTATGTATGCTATCACGGGAACATGAGATTTTAGATACCTATTTTGTCATTTACCGAGGCATCGCCGCTCCCATATCAAGAAACATTGGACGTAATGTCAAGTATAAAGCAACGAGGCGGCGAGCTCCCTGTATTTTTACAGCTTCCATCAAACCCCGTGCTCGAGCTGCAAAAGGATGAAAGGAATGGCTGTATAGCGATTCCTGCTACGGCCAGCTCCTTCGCCGCTTTTCAATATCTTGTCGCTCCTTTTACTATTCGACTCGCCATTTTTTCCCCTTCTCTCTCTCTTTCCCTTTTCCCTTTTTCTCCTTCTCTTTGCATTTCGTGTTTTTCGTTACTATGCTCGGCCCTCCAGCCGAGGCAATTTTATAACAGCTTCTTCTTTGTAAACTCGGAGGCGAAGAAACTCTGGCGGAGAACTCTACTCGAGAAATATATAGTCTGAAACTGACGTGTAATTTTCTGCCTCAAAGCGATTGTCTTCCTTAGAACATCGCCCACGATTGTTCCGTTGGAAATTTTCATTGATGTTTCTCTTTTTACGCTTCATCTCCTTTAAATCTTTCATCAGAGGGGCAGGACGGATCGTAGCCATGCAAACGCATGAAAGTCAATTTCGTTGCTTTAAACGTCGCTTTTTAAAACTGCTCGTCGGTTGTTTCCTCTCTGAAGAGGTGTATCAACAGCAGTTGAACATAAACGAAATTTCACCGAACGAAAGAGTTTTCGTCTGTGATTTTACAAATATTTTTATAACAGACCATAGAAATATCTCTTGCCTAAGTATCATATAAATTTTCAAATTTATGCGATCTTTGTGTCTCTACAAGTGTTCAGATTTTGTACATATCCACCGATGCTTGAAAATACTCTTCGACTCTCGCGGCAAAAGTAATCTCAATTTCAGTACCACGACGATTACGAGAAAAACTACGCGCAATGTAACGGGATCGAACGATTTCGAAAGGGCTGATTGCGAGTCACATCATCGAGGGCGAAATATCTCAGCGCGGGTACGAGACAAGAATTCCAAGCAAAAACCTTGTCGACCGGCTGCATAAATTCAATTGCCGCGGAGCAGTCGAATCGAGATCCAGCCGGTGCACCGTTTAATTAAGAATTATCGTGAATACGTGACAGCGTATCCGGGGCGATCGGCCCTCGATCAGGTCCGCGACTCGAAACCTGCCCACTTCGAAGCCACTCCGCTCTAATTTATCGTGCCGAGTGTCTTTTGGCCGTGACAACCGAGACTATCCGGCGGAATTTAAATCAGCGCGGAAAAGATCCTCTTTCCCTCGCTCCGCGAGTCACAACTGGTTTCTCTCTTTCCGGCCAGGACCAGGTGTCGCCGTGGTACAGATGGTGGAAGAGCACCGTCAACGTGCGGCTCATCAGGGACCCTCAACTCTTCAGGCCGCCCTCCGAATCGTTTCAACCTCACGAGGGTCAAACGTTGCCCGGTCCGGACGTAAGTTTCCAATCAATTCGAAACGGACAGAGAGCGTCGTAGAGGGGACACTTCCTGCTTCTATTTTTTTCACAAAATAGCGCAAAGGCTTTAAATTCGAAGTTGGCCAGAGGTTTCCAATGAACTGCACTTGAGCAGAGGAACTCTCCCCTCTACGTTTTTATTTTATGAAACGGGAAACTTTAAAGTCGACTCACGAGTTCGAAAAACGAACTACGTACACCGAGAATCGTAGAGGAGAAATTTTCCCTGTTTCTCATTGTGGAATTTTTGAATTCAACGTAAACGTTTCAGCCTTACGCAAGACGATATCGTTGGAAATAAAGATATCAGAAATGACTTGGAGGAATCATTCGTTTTCTTAATCCCCAGGTGCACCAGTAGCAACCCCCTATCCAGCGTCGAATAGTTAAGAGTCCTGCGCTGCGAGTATGGTAATTAACCGTAATTAATTAACTTTAACACGAATTTACGTGAAATCTTGTGTGTTCGAAGTAATAAATAAATAAATAAAAGCCCCGCCAATTGTACCCGTTGAATGACAAACAAAGTGAAACTTTAATCACCTGCGCTGGCAACTGGATTGCGGACCATAACGAGCGACCAAACCGTATAAAATAATTTGTCGCTTCCCTTACGAACTTATCGGTCCAATATCGTCGGATAGAAATTATTGCGAAGTATAATAAATTTATTATTTGCCTGAGTTATGCTTAAATATACTTTAAACTGAAGAAATATTGCAATTTTGCAACAAAAAATTCTCGACGCGCGTGGCAACTGATTGGCGGACCATAACGAGTGACCAAACCGTATAAAA